CAAAAACCAATAAAAATATTAAAAATACAAAACCTAGAAACTAGTCATTATTGTGCAATGGCTACATTATTAGTCAACTTATGACAGGTATGAGTCTACTGATGTCTGCATGGGTCGACTCATAGAATTATCAGTCGACTCGGTAGACGAAAAACACAAACTGCTCAACACTTTATCAGTCGACTTGCAACTGTAGTGAGTCGACTGATGTCTACATGGGTCGACTCATTGAATTGTCAGTCAACTCAGCAGATAAAAAACACCATTGCATAACACTTTATGAGTCGACTCAACACTGTAGCAAGTCGACTCAAACATGCACAAAGCGTGATTTGAACAAAAAATCTGATTTTTAAACCCCTTTTAAAAATAGCAAATAAATTCCAAAAATTGTAAAACTTTGGAAAATATTTATAAACATGATAATGAACATCTTACAAAAAGAATTTTAAAATTGCACTTTCTAATTTTGAAAACTTGTCATTTTGCAAACTAGGTCAAAATACAAAATGTCAAAATACTTGTTTTGATATTTTGACTTAAACCAAAGTTTTGAAACCTCTTGTTTGGATTTATAGACTAAATAAAAGATATACAATAGTATAAACAAGTCTTTAATCTATAAACATGTTATTTTGCAAAGTTACAAAAAACATGAACTCTCAAAAATAGGAAACATGATTTTATTGAATTGTTAAAGCTTGATATTGATGAAATCATTATAAGCATGTATAAACATGAAATAATTTGTGTAAATATAACTATATTCATTTGTTTCATATTATATGGCTAAACACATTATTTTCAAAACAAAATCGATAAATAGGAAACTAGTATATATATATATATATATATATATTATATATATATATATAACTATTAGTTTCATATTTATATTATTTAAGATTAAAAATGAAAACAATGAAAATGAAAGCAATGTGTGTGTATAGTTTGAGCTCTAAGTATCAACACTTAAAGTATAAACTTATACTACTATACCCAAGCTATAGATCTTCAATAAGCTTGATCTTGAATCTTTGACTTGAATTGTGCATAGCTTCACTCCGGTATTACGCCAACCTCTAAATATGATCGTGTAAGCGCAATCCAACCAACCTCCAACTATGTAGTTTGTCTAGAATACCTAATAGGAAAATACAAACATTAGACAAACGATATTAGGGATTGTTTGTAAATCATCAAAACAATATTAGAAATGTAGGTTCATAAACATGAGACCTAACACTTTTGAATGTAGTTAAGGGTAAAATTACAGTTGGTTCTGGTGCAAAGTTATCAAATGATGATGATGATCCTCACTTAAATTATGAAATACACTCTGCAAGCATATATACAAATGATGCAACTAATACTCTTTCACTCCCTACTAAACCCCAACCTAATGTTGTGCATGAAACTGAACCCTAACCTAATGAAGCTTTTGCTACTTCTAATGTTACCTCACCACATAGAAGGGACAAGGGACTAAACTTTAAAGGACCAAGAGTCAAAGGAATTATTCTATTAAAAAATAAATGGCTACCAGCTTGGACATCTTATGAGGTGGGATATCATTCTGAAGAAAGATGAAGTGATGGTGAGGAAGCACAGAACTATTCTAATGTTGAAGGACATATTTCAAAATAGAAAAGAAAAAGGATGGAGAAGGTAAATTATAAAATTTTCACTAAAGTTAATGACATGGGGGCAATTTATTTTGAGGGAGGACCGAAGTTTACTTCTAGGGAGATTCTTAAAGAGGATGTTCTAAATTACTCCATTTAGAGACATTTTGACTTCGTTTATGGGAAAAATGATAAGAAACAAATCAATGTCTCATGTTCAATATGTCATTGGTAGTTTAATGCAGGTCCAAGTGGGGATGATGATGGTTCTTAACAAATAAAAAACATACATTCTCACCACACATGTAGTAGAACTTTCAATAACAGGTTAATTACAGAGGTGTGGTTAGCCATGAGTATCTTTATAAGATATTGAGGAATCTAAAGTACAAGCCAAGAGATATGAAAGATGACATGTATACAAATTATAAAATCAATGTGTCTTTAAGAAAATATCAAAGAGCCAAAGATAAGGCCTCAAATGTTGTGAAAGGTTTAATGAAGAAGCAATATGGTTTGCTGAAACCATACATGACTAAGTTGTGTAGGTCCAATGAGAACACACATGTGTATTGAAGGTTATAAATGCAGTTGAGGATCAACCAGCAACATTTTTGAGGTTCTATATATCTTTTAACATTATGAAAACAGGATTTGCTAAATGTAGAAGAATTTTTGGTGGTTGCTTCCTTAAATATGCATGTGGTGGGACAACTTTTGTGTGCTATTGGGAAGGATGGAAATAATCAAATGTGGCCTATTGAATGGGTAGTCATAGAGGGAGAGATAAAAGCAACTTGGCTTTGGTTTTTCAGAGTGTTGACCATTGATTTACATATAGGTAGTGGTGGAGACTGGACCATCATATCTGATCAACAGAAGGTAATGTAGTTATGAGTAATTCTTATTTGAATGTATGTTACTTGTATCTATTTAATTGCGTCATCTTATATTTGAGCTTTTTGTAGGGTTTGGTTCCTGCTATACATGAGATTTGGCCAGATATTGAACACAGACAATGTGCTAGGCACATTTTCTCAAACTAGAGAAAAATTTACACTGGAAGAGCACTCCAAAGGTAACTTTGGACTTGTGTGAAAGTTACTACCATGGGGGAGTTTGCATGTAAAACTAAGAAGCTAAAAGATATGTCAGCTCAAGCATATGAGGATTTCATGCAAAGAGATCCAAACACATTTTGTAAGTCACACTTGAAAACTCATAGCAAATGTGACTCAGTGGACAATAACATGGAAAAAACCTTCAATTCTTTCATTTTACTTTCATGAAAGAAACCAATCATTTTAGTGTTTGAAGATATTAGACTGGCTTTGATGGATAGAACGTAAAAGAAATTTAAACTTCTAGATAAATTCAGTGGTCATGGAATAACACCAAGGATAGAAAAGAAACTACAAGAGGAATATAATGAGCAAACATTATGTCAAGTTTATTGAAATGGTGGAAATGATCAAGAGGCATGATTTGAAGTCAGACATAGAGGGTTTAGTCATTATGTTAATTTAGCAAATATGACTTACCCTTGTAGAGTATGGGATTTGACAGGAATCTCATGTGCTCATGCCATTGCTGCAATCCTCTTTATGAGAAGGAAGGTTGAGGACTATGTATCCGACTATTATATAGGAAAGACACTTACATGATGTGTTATTATAAATTGTTGAATCATGTTGAGGGTAGCAATTTTTGGGACATGGAAGGAGAGAGTATGGTTTTGCCACCTAATATTGTCAAGAAGAAGCTAGGTAGGCCAAAAATTGCTACGATGAGGGACTCTGATGAACCAATAAGAAGAATCAACAAGGCTTCAAGAGCAAGAGTACTTACAAAGTGCTCTAATTGTGAAGAAAGATAACACACTAGAAAGAATTACCCACATCCAAAATAGACTACTCACCAAGGAAGACTATTTGGTTTATTTCTACTTCTATGTATTGAGTTGAATGGTATTCACTACACAAATATATTCTTTTCTCTTGAAATGTAGTTACCGCAATCTCAAGCAAATGATTAAGGTTCAACTAGCAATGTCAGATCAATAAGCCAAACAAGAAATAAGGGTGGCAAACTAAGAGGATAGAAGAATAACATAAGTCAATCACAAGATTAATTAACCAAAATCAATGTCAATATACCAGCTTCAACAATAGTAGAGAAAAGGGCCATGAGAACCAACACTAGAATAGAAGCAAGGGCACAATTAGCTCTAGAAACTAATGCTAAAGGGTGTAGGATCTGATCTAATACAAGAGTAGGATATGCGGAAGCATACACTAAACACTAGAGGGTGGTGATTAGTGTTATTTAAAAAATTATGCAAAGTAGATTATAAATTACAGGAAAGATAGCAACAATCACAGAAAATCACAATCATAAACACAAGCATGTATACTGGTTCCACCTCCCCGGTGCACATCCAGTCCCCAAGCAAATCCCGCTTGAGATTTCCACTGTGATTTTTAAACATTACAAAGTCAAAAGCAAACATGACCAATTTGTAAGACCATGCAAATTGCAACCCTAATTGACAAGACCATGCCAATTGCACACCGATCTCTAGACCAAGAGATCAACCCTCTCAAAATCGAGAGAAACCTTCATTGTAGCAAGAATACAAATCCAATCCTATAAGCCTTGATGTGGATGTGAATGTGTAACAGTGGCTTATGAATCTTTTTGACTCTCTGAATATTGTCTAAACAATCTCAAAAAATGATGGAAACAAAGGCTATATCTTAAAACTCTCTTTTTCTGAAACTTAGAACTGAAAACTGGAAACTTGAGAGTTACAAGTGCAAATGATCATTATTTGTTTTCTGACATTTTTACCTATTTATAGCCTTTGAAAAGTCATATTTTAAACCAAAATAACACCTCAAAACGGCTATAAACAATCATATATTCAAAATTTGTAACAGTCAAAAAACTGCCTTTGTAGTTGACTATAACTCTTAGTAGTCGACTACTTTGTCTATTAGTCGACTACTCTGTAATTGATAGAAAGTCTAGAATTCTGATCCAAATCTTATTGGTCGACTATAATGTCTAGTAGTCGACTAGTCTGTAATAACATAGAAACTTATATTATGTTTGTGTCTTTTATAGTCGCCTATTCATGCTATTAGTCTACTATTAAGGGGTAGATATGAGCTATATGATATGAGCTATATGATATGTTTGTGTCTTTTAAGTCTCATTTTATACTTACTTTGGATAAGGAACATTTTAAATTTCTTGAGAGAGCATCAATGTCTTCATCATCTTCATCTGATTCATCACTGTCGTAAGATGCATTTAAAGCAATGATTTTCTTCTCTGATTGTTCTCTCTCTCCCTTATATCTTGAAGTTGTACTTCATATGCCATTAAATTCCCAACAAGATCTTCTAGGGTAAGTGTTGAGAGGTCATTGGCTTCTTCAATTTCGGTCGTCTTTTTCTCCCATTCTGGTGTAAGTGCTCGAAGAGTTTTTCTCACCATCTCTAATTGTGTGTATTCTTTTCCAAAACCAATTAGAGAGTTGGTGATGTCGGTGAATCTTGTGATTATTTTAGTGATCGTCTCATGTTCTTTAATTTTGAATAACTCAAACATATGCACAAGAACAGATATTTTAGATTTTTTAACTTTATTTGTACCTTCGTGTGTTACCTCTAATGTATGCCAAATTTGATGGGCTGAATTACAAGTAGACACGCGATTGAACTCATTCTTGTCCAAGGCACAAAATAGTGTATTCATCGCCTTAGAGTCCAGATTTACATTAGTCCTTTGAACAACCGTCCATTCGGTGTAAGGAGTGGTAGGATTTGTAAATTCCATCTCTATAATGTTCCATAGATTGTAGCCAAGAGATTGGAGGTAGATCTTCATCCGACACTTCCAATAGTTGTGGTTTGTGTCGTTAAAGAGAGATGGTCGTTGTGTGGAATATCTCTCTTTGAGTTATGATGTACTTATTGATGTACTTGAACTTGATGTCATCTTTCACCGTGCTCTGAACCAATTGTAGGATCTGATCTAATATAAGAGTAGGATCTGCGGAAGCATACACTAAACACTAGAGGGTGGTGATTAGTGTTATTTAAAAATTATGCAAAATAGATTATAAATTGTAAGAAAGATAGCAACAATCATAGAAAATCACAATCACAAACACAAGCATGTATACTGGTTCCACCTCCCCGGTGTATATCCATTCCCAAGCAAACCCCGCTTGAGATTTCTACTATGATTTTAAAACCTTACAAAATCAAAAGCAAACCTGACCAATTTGCAAGACCATGCAAATTGCAACCCCAATTAATAAGACCATGCAAATGCACACCGATCTCTTGACTGAGAGATTAACCGTCTCAAAACCGAGAGAAACCTTACTTGTAGCAAGAATACAAATCCAATCGTATAAGCATTGATGTGGATGTGAACGTGTAACAGTGGCTTATGAATCTTTTTGATTCTCTGAATATTACCTAAACAATCTCTAAGAATGATGGAAACAAAGGTAATATCTTGAAACTCTCTTTTTCTGAAACTTAGAACTAAAAACTGGAAACTTGAGAGTTACAAGTGCTAATGATTGTTATTTGTTTTCTGACATTTTTACCTATTTATAGCCTCTGAAAAGTCATATTTTTAAACCAAAATAACACCTCAAAATGGCTATAAACAGTCATATATTCAAAACATGTAACAGTCAGAAAACTGTCTTTGTAGTCGACTGCAACTCTTAGTAGTCGACTACTCTGAGTTCAAACAGACTCTGTGTAGTCATATAATTCCTTAGTGGTCGACTACTTTGTCTATTAGTCGACTACTCTGTAATTGACAGAAAGTTTGGAATTCTGATTCAACCTTTATTGGTCGACTATAATGTCTAATAGTCGACTAGTCTGTAATAACACAGAAAATGATATTCTGTCTGTGTCTTTCGTAGTCGACTATTCATGCTAATAGTCGACTATTAAGGGGTAGATATGAGCTATATGATATGTTTTAAATCTCACTCAATATCTATTAAATCTAATGGTTAACATAGAGGATTTTTATAATTAACCAACACACTAAGCATGTGTTAGTATGTTCTAACACTATGTGTGTGTATGTGTGTGAGTGATCAAGGCTTGTACACATTTCTAAGCAAAGAAAATATAAAATTATATTTTAATAATAAAGTATATCTTCTTCTTTGCTTTATTTTACCTTGAACTCATCCTATGTCTTGAGTATTTCTTTGAATATCATTGTTGATTTAGCTATGATACTGCAAAACAAATGTTAGCACATAATATACACAACATATAATATTTGTTATCATCAAAACAAACTAATCTTGGGGTCAAAATTCCTAACAGATGGAGGGGTAGAGTAGGGGGAAGATCTAGTGGCAGAGGCCATGGGCATGAGGGAACCTCAGATAGAGGAATTGATGGAGATAGTGGCATAGGCATACCTGAAGACTATGGACTGTGGCAGGGTGAGCATGGAGATATAGCTTTTAGAGGATCAAGTCAAGCACCACTAATATTTATTGGACCTTCGACTCAAAATGATTCTCATGTATTAGACTAATTTGTAAATTTGTAATTAAATGTACATATTTGTTTGTATTTTCAAATGTATTTTAGGACTAAGTAGATCTAGAAAAACTATGTCCGGTTTAGCCTATATTATTTTTTCTAACTATCTTGTGCATGTTTTTGTGGATACAATTACTGTGGCAATGATAATATATTCCCAATATGGCTATTTTCAAATTGTACATATTGTGCTCTGGTTTTTTGTATATATACAAGTTGTGCATATGTACAAGGGTATATATACAAGTTGTGCATATTGCATATGCCCAGATTTTTGGATTTTATTGCATGTTTATTGACCAGATGTAGATATTGACAAGATGTACATGAAGAACATATATCAATAGCGCATTCATCACACATATACACATAACTTTGATTTTATTACATGATCTCTTACATGAGTCAAGTCTATTTTTACAATCACCAATTTTTAACAACATACAAATCCCAACAAATTATAACCAAAACAAAATACAAAATAATCCTCTTCATCATTCTCATCTTCACAATCTACAACTCAATTTTATTCTCCATTAAATTTTTTCTCTTCTCAGTTTCAGGAACTCCTGCATACATGATTCAGTTTCAACCTGGCACAGGTCAAATTCTTCTTTCATCTTGTCAATTTCGTTACAATATTCACTAAGTTGGTTCTTGGCAGTGTCATCAGTTGCCTTTAATGTGCTCCTCAACTCTCTAATTTCTTCTCTTAGAAGTGAAAATAGTTAAGAAGCAGCCTACGCATAGGAGCATCAAACCACTCCCAAAGCCCACAACCACCACTCTGATAAAATTAAAGAAACACAAATGTCATAAAACTATTTTATACAAGAAAATTAAAAAACTTAAGAACATACGTTGTATTTTGGGCAGGGATAGAAAATTAAAACACAAATGTCATAAAACTATTTTATACATGTTTTTTGCGTGCGTGACGGCAGTAAAATTTGAGGGTAACGGCTGTGGATTTGGCGAACATTACCGAATTGATTGCTAGAGTTTGTACAGCTCTCTAAAACCCTATATATACAGCCGAAGACCCCTTTAGAAAAACACAGAAATGAAAGCAAATTCTTCTCTTCTCTCCTTTGTTCTTCAAAGAAATTATTTTCGTGCAATTTCTAGTTTTTACCTTGGGCAACCGTCTTCATCTGAGCAGAAGTTCTGCACTCTCGTCCGAGTCAGAGGCCGATTGATTCGGAGGTTTTTACCTCTAGAGAAGAGGGGATCATCTGCATCAGGACGATAGGCGGGTCCTTAATCTTCTAGGGCAGTGTTTATATGACTGCTTCCGATTGGGTCAGTAATTTTCTTGTTTCTTTTATTTTGGATTTTTGCATGCTATAACTTATAACTTTTGTTTGATTATTATGTAACAATACTGACTCATAATCTTTGCATCAAGAATTCTGATCAGCAGTGTTAATGAAGATTCTTTCGTTTTGATCACCAATAATCCTCTACGCTTCATTCAACTGTTCCGTCAAAACCCTAATCCTCCGTTGATATTCCATTCCCTCAGCCGACGCTTCCGCCTCGAGGTTGCGCATCTGCGAGCTCAGAATCTCCTCCACCTCCTCTGTCATCTTCAACCTCTCCTTCGGCCTTTCTAATTCTCTCCTTATCCTTTCCTCCCTCTCCCCTCTCTTTCCTTTATTTCTCTCTCTCTAGCTCGTCGTTTCTGCGTTTTAGTTCTTCTAGCCTTAGTAATTTTAAGAAACCCATAAAAAATTAACTACACTTTATAAAACCAAGAATAAATTACAGAAAGGATTTATTATACATACTATTATGCTCCATGGCAGCTTGCAGGGTCATCATCATTATGACGATTATCAGCATTATCAACATTATTATTGAGGTCGTCTAAGGGCTCCATAATCCTCCTCAATCTCTACGTTCATCTCACCCATCGGGATTCGGATCCTCTCCACTATAAAAAAAATAGTGGAGGGACCACTACATAATCACAGTCATTGATTATCTAGTTGATGGTTGTAATTTTTTTTAGTGCAAATTTAGAATGAGTGTAATACACGATGGTATGGTAAGTGTTAGATTTAGATTGTATCATGACCGCCTACTAAATAATCAACGATTGAGATTAAAAGTAGTGGTCTCTTCACTATTTTTTTTTGTAGTGGAGATGATCCAAATCCCACCCACCGGCACCATCCATCTCAAAAAAATTCTCTGCAATGCATCCAGAATTAGTATCAATACTAATCAAAGAACTGTCATATGTCCAAAAGAATTAAGCTGTTATACAACCAAAGTGGGTAATGTTGTTGACCGAAGAAGGGGTTCCATAACCCGTTAAGAGATAGCAAAAGTCGTTGGAGAAATGATTAGCATTGTAGGTGAACCGATTGTAGGTATTCGCCTGATAACTACCAAACAGTAGAATACCCTGCCGAGGTTGATCTGACGTGGTGTGGCCGATAAGAATGGAGTGATGCAGCTTTAGGCCTTGGCATTGTGGTGCAGTGATGACGCCAGAGATTGTTCCTTTACTTGTTGGAAGAAACATGTACTGCATCCTACTCACTATTATATATTCATGATCAAGAAAAAATTACAATAGTCAGCAATATCCATCAAGAGTACCTAGCTACATATGGTCAATTCTCTTGATCAAGAAAAAAGTAAGCATATTCTTGATTGATGAAGAAACCTATAGTTTAACAAGAAACTAGCATTTATAGAAACCTTGAGTTTAACAAGAAACTAGCATAAAAAATACCTAACTACATATGGTCAATTCTCTTGATAAAAAAAAAAGCAAGTATATTCTTGATTAATGGAGAATCCTTGAGTTTAACAAAAATACTATCATCTGTAGAATCCTAACTCCGGATCCCTTCATAAAGCTAAATGCTAATGATGATCACATAAAAC